CTTGGAAAACCTAAAATATTTACTGTTTGGCTCTTTACAGAAAAGGTTTGCTGACCCTGGCCCGGGCAGAAAGCAGTCAGGGATGTGCAATTAGGGCATCCCAAGAGGGAGACACAAGGATGGACTAGGACTTAAGAGGAGCTATGGAGCTTCTAGAAACAGGTGTGGGAGGGTGGCCCAGGGCAAGCAAAGACCCTGAGGAGGTGGCTGGCTTTAGAGCAGACAGTGACCTGAGTGGGGGGTTCAGAAGAGAGACTGAGCCCAGCCGGGGCCCGAGGATCCACCTTGTCACGTGCTGTGACAGCCATTTTGGTTCTTCGTCAGAAACGGAGCTGCTTGGTGGTGCAGAATGTAGGGGGGCCAACTCTGGGGCATCTGCCAGAAGAAGCAGGTCACAGGAATGGTAAAGGGTCTCAGGGGCCACTGCTCCTCCACTCAGCCAGCTTGGGCCACTAGGGACTGCGGGCCCAGAGCTGCCAGATGATCCCATTTTCCAAGAGAAACCAGCAGTCTGGTTTTCACGGGAAATCTGATTTCTACGTGTTTGCGGTTAATTCCATTTTTACAAAATCATGAAGCAGACCAAGCACACGTGTGTCTGGCCTGTGGGCTGAGGGTTTGGGAACTCAGGTGTCCAGGGTGGAAGTGGGGAGAAGAGGGTGTGTGGGTAGAGCCGGAGAGCAGCCAGGCCTGGTGCCCCAGCGGTCCCCGAGGCGGAGGATGGCAGGCGGGGCTTGGGGCTGGAGAGGAGCACGTGGCAGAGCCCTGGACCAGTGGTGTCAGGTTTCTGAGTCTTGACCTATCCTATCCCAGAGCAGTGAACATTCCTGCCTGCAGGCCGGGGTGGGGGTGGGGAGCTGGAGCCAGCAGAGTTGGATACTCCTTGCTCACCTGGCTTAGCCCGAGGGGACTCTCCTGACCAGCTGGAGGTCTAGTGATGGGAGGTGGAGAGCTCTGCAGTCCCCTCTGAGATCCTCAAGAGTGAAAACTGTAGGCGAGGCCCTTAGCGTTTGGGTCTGCTGCTCTGTCCCCAGGGAGCCCTGTGGAGCCGTGGGTTGGGGCTGGGGTTGGAGGCCTGAGTGGGCCCCAGCTCCACCCTTCCCTTGCTCCTGTGACCTTTGAGACTCAGGGTGACCCCTTGCTGGGCAGGTTGCCTTGAGAATCCAAGAGAAAGTGGGTGTGGAAGAGGCATCCCGTGTGCCAGCCATCGGAGCCTGGCCTCCTGGGTGGGGTCCTGCTCAGCTCTGGGCGGGGTGTCTGCACCCTGACAGCATTGCGGCCTCACACAGCCCTCACCTGCTGACTCACCTTCGAGCCGCCGCCACTGTGGGTTTGTTACTCGTTTTAGGCAGGACTCTTAGTTGCAGCACCCCTGGCCAACGTGGCTTATGCAAAGAAGAGAATCCCGAGGCTCATGAACAGAAAAAGTCTCCGGGTAATTCTAACCTCGGTGGAATGACATTGCAGGGACTCTGTCTCGCCCCATCTCCCAACTCTGCTTCCCACTGCATGGGCTTCATTCTCCGTGGCCCCCAGTGTGGTGGCGCAAGGGGCCCTCGCCCGGTCTCGCGGCTGCTTCTCATAGGCCCGGCTCGGGTCCCATGCTCACCCTGGACCAATCCCTGCGGGCGCGGTGCTGCTGGGGTGGGCCCGGCCTGCCGTTGGACCCTGAGCTGTGGCGGGGAGCTGCTGGGATAGGGAGCGGGGTACAAGGGACCCCCGCAGAAAAGTCAAGACGCCGGAACCCAAAGAGGAAGTGGACGGGCCGAAACAGAGCCCACCCGCTGTCCAAGGCTGCGTTTTGGGCTGAAGGGGACACGCCTGCACCCCCCTTCCCTCTTCCCCCTACCCCTCCTCCCCCAGGCTGACTTCCACCCAGCTCCAGACAGCTGCGAGTCCCTCGCGTCCCTCCCGCGTGTCCTCTGCAATGGCAGGGCTTGGTCCCAGCTGACATGGGGCCACGCCAGCCTCTGCAGCCTTTCATCCTCTTCTCCAGGCGCGGACCCTCTTGAGAAAGGAAAGCAGGCTTGTTCAGGGTGGCTTGGTCGTGGTGTGTCCTTGCGGGTTCCTAGTGATCGACTTCCTTTCTAAGTACACAGGAAGCAGCTCTTTAATAATCCATCGTGACATCTGGCCGGACAGCGGCAGAGCTTGCCTCTCCGTGCACCGCCGCTCGTCCCTGCTTTTCGGATGCAAGAATGACATTTCCCGTCTACCACCAGGAAGGATGCCACGATTGGGAGTTTCTTGCATTAGATCTCCTGGGGCCTAAAGATAAGATCACATCCAAAACTGCTGGGGCCTCTTATACTCCTCTTTGGCAATTATGTTGATTTTCCTCCATTTATGGAATCTGTCTCCTTGAGGGAGGAGGCAGAAGCTCCATCCCTGTCGATAGAACCATTTCCAAAAGTAAAGGATCAGGATGAGGCCCAGCTGGCCCAGGAGAGGCCACCTGGCTGGGCCAGGACACTTGCTCTGGCCTGGCCTGGCCTCTTGACACTTGCCTGGGTCCTGAGGGTCAGGAGAAGGAACATATCTTTTCAGGATCACAAAATGCTATTTGGCCTCCACGTCATGTGTCAGGATAAGAGGTCTAGTCTTTGAACGGTCATTGTTCACCTGAATGTCGCATTTTCTGGATACTACGATGGCCAGTTCCCAGGAGACAGAGGGTGAGATTCTAACATTCTGGGTCATCCGCAGGCCACACCTCTCTGGCTGTAGGTGTGTCTGTGGCTCCACTCCCAGTTGTGTCCTGATTGTGGTGCCGTCAGGGGGACTCGGGGGACAGGAGGCCACCAGGGAAGGTGCTGGGGAAGAGGGGGCAGGTGGGGATAGGTCTCGTCTCCTGAGTCACCCCCTCCCTCCACCCGGGCAGGCTGAGCCACGAGTGGCCGACGGAGCGTCGACTGGGCAGAATGTTCTGTTTGCCTTGTGTCGAGGCTGCCCCTTGGCCGAGGTGAATGTGCTCATCCTGGTTTTCCAGACGTGGAGGTGGTAACGCAGGTCGATGCGAGGTCCCTGGACACCCGAGTGTGTTCTGCCTTATTTAAAATCCTTGGATGGTTCCCATCTGACAGAGAGAGGGCTCAGTGTGGTGGCAGGTGAGGGGCTTTGGAGCGCAGATGTTGGCATCCATCCTCTCCCTCCCGTAAGCCTGGCCGCTCTCACCGTTAGGGGACACCTGCGACAGCCGCCTCCCTGGTGTGTCTTTCCTCCGTAGTCTGTTCTGCTCTTGCTGAAACACACGCCTAATCTCTCTCTCACACACACCCTCCCTCTTAATAGCTTCAGAGGCCCCTGGTGCTCTCAGGATCAAGCTGGTAGCACAGCCTCCAAGAGTGCAAGTGGTCGGGCCTGGCTCCCAGCTTCACCCCCACCTCCCCTCTGACCTGGCAGCTCTAGCCAGAGCTGCCTCCCTTCCCCCAGCCCCCCCACCACACCCCACTTGGCACACACTGTTCCCTCAGCCTAGAACACCACACCCCCATCACCCCTGTGCCCCCACTTCCCCAAATTCCTGGCCAATTCCTGCTGAGGCTGTTGAGGTCCTAGATGTCTCAGCTGCTAGAGAACCCCCTGACCCCTCCAGGATGAGCCGGGGCCTCTTCCGGGTTCCCTAGGCCTCTCCCGCCATCAGCTGTCATCCCCTGGCAGCATTGTTTCTGTTGGTTCATTTGTGTCCCCCTCTAAATGGCGTGCCCCATGGTGGCTGGGGCCATTGTCTTGCTCAAGGCTGTGTCTTCAGCACCAGGACAGGGCCCGGCCCGGCACGGATGCTCGGCGAGATGGTGGTGGAGTGGACGGGTGCTTGGAGGATGCGTGGCTCAGGGCCTACACCTCCTGAGCCTCGGCTCCCCCTCTGCACTGGGGTCGATGGCCACGCTGTGGAGTCTGGGGTGGGGGGGCAGGGGAGGGAAGGTGCTTGGCAGTGGGAGCTGTGGTCGACCACAGCTGGAGCTCCACATCCTTCCCTGGCACCTCTGGCTGCAGTTGAAGGCTGGGCCGGAACTGGGTCTCAGCTGGAGTGGGTAGAGGTGGCCAGGAGATGGGACAGTCCAGGGAGCTGTGGGACGGGGAAGGGAGGGTGGTGGGAGGGTCCCCTCCCCTGCACCCCTTGACCCCACATGCCTGCCTGTCTCTGAGGGCCCCAACCAGGGCAGCAGCCCAGTGGCCTCGCAGCCCACCCCCCCCAGAGCAGTTCAGTCACTGAGTCAGTCTTGAGTCTACATGAGCATCACCTGGGGGCTCCGAAACGCCCTGCTGCCCAGGCCACACCCCAGACCCGTGACGTCAGACTCTGGCGAGGGCCCGGGCATAAATATTTCATAAAGCTCCCGGGAGAGTCCCGTGTATGGCCAAGTTTGAGAACTGCTGTTTGAGGTGGTCCTCGGTGACACTGGTTTTTCCTTGAGACACACAGCAACCTGTGGGGTCCTGCCAGCCAGCCTGGGGAGGGACGCTTAACGGGAAATCCCCCTCCCCAGCCTTCCTTCAACACAAATCTGTACCCGAAGTGAGGAAGCGCTTCTTAAAATGAGTTTATTTTTCGAAAGAGTAGCACACGCACGTGGCACGAACTTCAGGCATCATCGGTGGGTACACAGCGAAACAGAACCAGTTTCCATCCCCAGTGACGGCCACCGCACCCAGGCTCTTCGGGTGGCCCTGCAGAGCCGTCTGTCGCACGCGTGTGGGTGGGTGCGTGGTCCCCTTGGTCGCGAGTCCGCGCCGTCCTCACTCGCTCTCTCAGCCCTTCTCTGTCGGAACAGGCAGATCTGCCGCGCTCTTTTTAACGCCTGCAGATTGTTCCGCCATGGAGAGGGCCTGGCGTCGAGGCTTTGGTTCCTTCAGGTGGCCGGCTTAGGCTGTCACAGGCAGTGACATGTCCCATGTGTGACTCTCCCACAGGATGAACTCCTAGAACTGGAATTCCTGGGTCACAGAGCAAGTGGATCCAAATTGCTGATCGAGCACCTGTGTCTTTGTCCTTCCAGAAACCGTCCGCGCCGGCGCCCCCGACGTACGAGCTGCCCACGTTGTATAGGACCGAGGACCACTTTCCCGTGGACGACCGGGAGGCCGAGCGTCGAGCCCCGAGCTGCCGTCGGCGCCCGTGACTGCAAAGCGGAACTGCTGCGGAGCGGCCCCGGTTTTCTTTGTTTGCATCGTTGTGTTTGAATTTCCTCCCCTCCGCACGTGAGGCCACAGCGTTTGGAGAAGAGTCGGAAGCCATGTGTGGCGCGGCCTCCAGTGTCGGCCTGCCTGGCGTTTTAAAGGGGAAGAGGCGGCCAGGGTGACCGTGGTCGATGGTGGCGGGGACGTCCCTTCTCCAGGAAGGGCTCTTCCTCCGTGGTGGGTGGGCTCCAGGGCTGCTGGCGTGGCTGTGTGGGAGACCCCAGTGCCCTGGCCTGGAGGGCCATCCCCATGAAGGTGTGAGAGCCCGCCTGTGGTCTGGGCGTGGGGACTGGGAGTGATGTTTCCTCGCTTATGGGGAACCTGCTTGTTGTAAGGCCCGGCCTTCGGATTCCCAGCAAGAAAGTGGGTGGGGTCACCAGGACCCCTTCAAAGGTGTTTTAGCTTCGTTTCTTCTCGTGCAGATGAGTTCCCTGCTGTTGTCCTAACACCCCCCATTCCTCACTTTGGCTTCAACCTGTAATGGCTATTTCTGGAATTCCTCTCAGAGCCTCGCAGCCAAGAGCAGACACAGACGCACACGCACATGCGTGCACACACACACACACACACACACACACACGCACACACACAACTGCAGATCCGCGTTCGAATTTCAAGGAAATCTAAAATAGTGAACCTGGCAAGATAGCAGTAGAAAAGCAGAGAGAAGTTGGGTTGTGCCCATCTTAGGACAGTGTTTGGAATTCAAAGATATAGGTGGACTCCTTGTTTATGGAAGAGTCAGCATTTTTCTGTTGAGGTAACAGTCATAAACGTCTATTGAAGTATAATTTACGTTACAGAAAGGAGCACCTAAGTGTATATTTCACTGAATTTTCACAAAGTGAACACATCTGCTTAACGCTCACCCAGACTGAGAAACCACCTGACCGGCGCCGTCAGCACCCCGGAGCCCCTCGGCCCCGTCTGGTCAGTGCCTGCCCCCGGCCGGGCTCCCAGCCTCCTGGCATCCAACAGCACGGACGGTGTTGCCGGTTTCTGCACCTTGTATAGATAAAGGACGGACGGAGTGTGCACGTGCAGTGTGCCGCCTCGGGTCTGGCTTGCGGCCGTGCCGGTGGGAGGCGTCCCTGTTGCTGTGTGTAGCTGAGAATCGTTAATTCTCACGGCTGCACTGTATTGATCGGGACTGGTTTTAATGAAGGAAGCGTAGACACTAGCCACGCCCCAGTCTGCTCAGGGAGGGCATAGATTTGATGGAAAGTTAATTTTTTAGACAAGCAGTTGAGGACACTAATTTCTGGAAGTCTTATCTATTGATTGCTGGAGACGCCCAGGCTTCTGTCTCCTTCCAGGGCCTGAACCAGGGGCCAGGGGGGGGTGGAAGAAAATGTCATGAGATTAAACCACAGCAATGTAAGTAAGTATCCTAAAATAGAGACGCACAGGACCATGGCTAAGAGCACACAGGCTCTGATGTCAGCCTGCCTGCGTGGCACCATCCTCTCCTGCACATCTCAGCTGCCGTGTGCCCCTGGGCTTGTTGCTTACCCTCTCTGAGCCCAGCCTCCTCAATAAGATGCGATGACAGCATCTGCCTGCTGGGTTGTTGGGAGGATGAAAGGAGATGAGCTGTGTGCGTGTTGGGCTTGGGGTCTGGTGAGGGGCACTTGGTAACGGGGGGCTGTTATTGTGGTGACTGGGTTTGGCAAGGAGAGGGCTGACCAGCGGCATCCAAGGGCCTCAACAGCGAGTAACTTAGGGGCTGCCCTTAAATGTCAGAGTTAGAAGAAGTCACGGACAGTGGGATCTGCTAAAAGTCCAACCAGCTCTCTTCGGGTTTCACCCGTCCTGGGATCTTTCTCCCCCAGTCAGTGAGGACGGGTAAGGTTGCGTGAGAACATCTATGGGGAAGAGGTGACGAATGAACTGGAAGTGACCATTCAATATTTGCTGGGAGTCGTAATGCCAAATAATGAGCTTCCAGGGACATTTGGAGACACCTGGGGAGAAGGAAGACCAGGACACTCGGCCCTGCCAGGAACCCCTGATCTCAGTCCTTTGAGCGGTTCCGTTCCGGAGGTGCCGTCTTTGTGCCAGGTGACTTAGCGTGCTGCCCCTTTGAAGCAAGTGCCCAACTCGTCTCTTGTCGAGTAAATGAAATCCTTAACTGCGATGTCAGCAGGCCCTTAACCCCACGGGGGGGACTGCAGCCTGGGGAAGGGCCGTCTTTCTTTTTGTGGCCGTTGTTGGACAGGGAGCCCAGTAGAAGGGTCACTGCAAATCTTCCCAAGACAAGGCTCTTCAGTCACCCGCCTTTCCCACTTTCCCAGTGGAAGTGAATTTCATGCCTTTCAGAGCAAGAGGTTTCAAGACAGCGGCCCACGGGCTGTATCTGGTTGGCAGAAAAGTGTGGTTTGCCCTAAACTGTTTTAAAATGTTTTCATGTTGAGACAACTGGATGGCCGTCTGGGAAAGAGTAAAGGGAGCGCCATACCTCACTCCGCACACCCGGAGCAGTTCCAAAAATTCCAAATGGATTAAGGAGCTAAATGTATAAAACGAATCTATTGGCTGGGCGAGGTGACTCATGCCAGTTATCCTAGCACTCTGGGAGGCCAAGGCAGGAGGATCGCTTGAGCTCAGCAGTTCCAGACCAGCCTGAGCAAGAGTGAGACCCTGTCTGTACTAATAATAGAAAAAATTAGCTGGGCGTGGTGTCATGTGCCTATAGTCTCAGCTACTGGGGAGGCTGAGGTAGGAGGATTGCAGGAGCCCAGGTAGAGGCTGATGCCACGGCACTCTAGCCCAGGTGACAGAGCGAGACTCTGTCTCAAAAAAAAAAATATATATATCTATTGAAGAAGTAGGTAAAAACATTGGAGAATCATACAAAGTCCAGAAGCCATAACAGATAAATTTGTCCATACCATGGAATACTATGAAGTTGTAAAAACGGATTAAGAGTTCTTTCTGAATTAGTGTGGAAATGTTGCCAAGATATGAAAGCCAAATGCAGAAAACTGTACATGGTATGCTACCATCTGTGTGTGAAACAGAAAGGGATTAAAATTCTCTGGAAGGATAAACAAATATTTGAGAATAGTGGATATCTTTTGGGGGTAAGAAGGGCCATTTTCACTCCATTTTTTCTTTTTGATATTTTGGTGTTTACCTGTTCAAAAAATTCAATTAAAATCAGTTGTCAGCAACTGTCAGTGCACATGAAGAACTGGATTTCCTGTTTTTTTTTTTTTTAAAACTGGAAAATCTGTCACGGGAAACACAGGGCTCATATTCTCACAAGGCGACAATGAGCTAAAGCCAAGTCACTTTGGGGGCCTGCTCTCCAGGCTTTCCTTGTAGCCAAATCACTAATGTATTTCACCTGCCTAGCCCCTGTGGGCATTTGTATTTGAGACCCTTAGAACCAGAGACCCCAAGACCATGGAGAATTTACTCCAAGGATATGGGGTGTGTGAAGAAATGCATCTGGGCCTCAGCTTCATGTGGTGGAGGATGGCAGCTGGATGTCACTGCAACTCAAGCAGCTGGCAGTCTAGCTAGGGGGGCAGGGCTTGGGGTCCTACTATAGACATGTGTGCTATCCAAGGCGCTCCTTTTGGGGGTGACTGATACCAAGTGAGACATCATAAGATAGCTACAGACCAATATCCCTCATGAATACAGATGCAAAGTCAATAAAATATTAGCAAACTGAATCCAGCATCATATAGAAAGATTATCATGACCAAGCAAGATTTCTCCCAGGAATGCAAGCTTGGTTTAATATCCGAAAAACCAATCAATGTCCCACACCATATTAATAAAGGACAAAAGCCACATGATCATCTCAATAGATACAGAAAAAAAGTATTTAACAAAATCCAACATCCACTCATGATAAAAATTCTCCTTCTTGGAGAAGTCCAACCAAGAGAAGGGGAGTTCTCAAGAGAGGAGGGTTAGAGGCTGCGGCTTACTAACTCCCTGCAGATGTGTTTTTTTGACCCAGGCAGTTGCAGGCACTCGGGAATCTTCCTCCCCATCTTAAAGCAAAACCCCACTTTGCCTAGTGGTCAACAGCACAAGCATCTGTGGGTTTGGAAGAGTTCAGAGCAGTTCTGACTTCTGGCAGCTATCACAGGATCTCCTCCTGTACTTGCTTCAGATTCAAAACCACCAGAATCCTCGCAGGTAATCGTCAGCTTGATGCATTTCAGGTCTGCAAGCAGCTGGGCGGGGGAGAGGGGAAGGCAGTGGGTGGGGCCTGCCTCGGCAGCCTTGCTGGGACTTCTGGCAGAGTGTGCTTTGGCGGCTACCCCTGGGGCTGGGTTTGAGGAAGGAGTTAAGTGGACTGCAGGGGACACGTGTGTTTGGTCAGGGTGAACATACCATTCCCCTGAAGACCCAAGCCAGCCTTGAGTGCCCAAGGTCGGCCTCTTCAACCGGAGGACTTCCTCATGGGGCCGTCTAGGGAGCCGCTCTGACAGGGATGGAGCGTGCAGACGCTCATCAGCGCCGCTCTTCTGGGGCAGCCAGGCCCGAGGCGGATGAGCAGGAGGAGACCCGGAGGAGCAGCCCCTGAAGAGCAAGGTTTGTGCATTTCTTTGGTTGGTGTCCCCAAGGGTCTACTGCTGCTGCAATGGTGACTCTACGCAGAGAGTAAGGATTAAAGGGTTATCGGTTTAGGGACATGGTCTCCTCGTTGCTCCTTGTGAATCAAGGAGACACCAGGACATTCATTTACACACGTAGAGTTGTTTTTGGCAAACCCCGCGTGCAGGGACAGGTGGTTCTCTTAGGCTATGGGCAGGTGTTTGTTGAACGGGGGGATTAGAATAAGCGGTGTCATGCAGGACACGGCCTACAGCAGATACAGTACGAAATACTGTTCAGGCGAAGGCTCGCGCTGGCAGCCCACGTTCACTGTGCATCTCTATAGAACAGTGCTTCTCAGTCTTGGACTCAGCTGGGCCAC